AAAATAGAATAAAATTTTTATTATAGGATAATTAATCAAAATAAATGAATAATAATAAAGTTAAAATTGAAAAAAATATTTGTTTACTCTAAAAATAAAAATAAAACAAATAAATAATAATTAATTTAAAATAAACTTAAAGTTAAAAAATGGGACAGTAAAGTGCGACACCTTTACCAACACGTGAAGCACAGGCCGTGCCGGGGTTTTGGCCTTCCAGCAATTTTCCTTAATGGCAAACTGATAGAACTGGTCCTTTCTCAAAAAAACTGATAGAACTGGTCCATGATTTCTGGTTTCTGCACACGTTAATCCTTAAATGATTGATCTTTGTTGTTTGGTTTTAAAAATTATGATTTTTTCCAATTAAGTTTTTTCTGTATAAAAAATGAAAATTATATAGAATCTGATAAATCTCATCTAAATATCAATAATATCAAAAAAAAAAATTCTCGGTAATATCTATATGAATTTTGAACTTATCAATATGTATATATTTTTTCTTGAATAAGATCATAAACAAAGTATTTTTTTAGTTTCTGTTGATTTTAATTTTACGACGTATATGTTTATTATCAGCATTATCAGGTGTGTTGATCAATTTAATTATGTATGCTGTGATTTTGTGAAGTGTGAAACACAAAAAAGTCCATGTTCTATAGTGCTAGCTAGTCCATATCTTTTTCCCTTACATATGCGATTAATTTTTTTCTCATGAATATAATACATCTATTGCAACTTTAATTGAACTCATAGTTTAACAGAAAATTACTGCTTCCTAAACATATTGTACTGGGGAATGAGATGTGGAATTGGATCTTAGCAGTTGAGGTACAAGCTCACGGTGCAATATTGAGATAAAAAATTTTCACACAAACTTCCAAGGTAGTTAATTTGATTACTGAAGTGAAGAAGGATTATGTTGACTTTCATTTGAGGCACATTGGGCGATGGAAATTCAAACCTAGGAGTCTGGGTTACAGTTCAAATGCGGAGATATTGATAAATGATCCAACGGAAAATATTTCCCATACTCCGGCGAAAGACTGTAGGGTGCAGCTATAGTTGGGCAGAAGGTACCCGTTTGCCCCTTAACTTTTCGACTTTTAGGGTTTTTACCCTCCATATTATAATATATGGATTTTTATCCTCAACGTTTTCAAGTTAAGGAAATGAGGCAAAATTTAACGCTGGAACGTCACGTGTAGCACGTGCACTGTTGGCCTCCGTCAAGTATGCGCATGTCAGCGCCAACTCAGAATTTTTTGACAACCTGGTATGCCAACTTGGAACCCCACGAGCGGGAAGTCTACTTGCTGCCAATTTTTTTGTGGGCCCCATTGCTGATTAAAGGTTTAAAAGAAAAAAGTTAAATCCTCGATTCAGTCCCTTAACTTTCATTTTTAAACTAAATTTACCTCGAACTTCAAAATATTGTGACTTGGCACCAAAAATATAATTTAATAAATAAAAATTTCTTTTTTTTCTTTTTTCTTTCCTTTCCTTCTTTTTTTCTCCTTCTCTTTCCTTTTCTCCTTCCCCTCCCTACT